GTGGAAGGCAACCCTACGCCCCACCTGTGGCGCGGGACTGCCTACCCACCCAGAGCGCCCTGGTGGAAGGCAACCCTACGCCCCACCTGTGGCGCAGGACTGCCTATCCAGAGAGCCCTGGTGGTCGGAATCCAGAGAGCCCTGGTGGTCGGAAATACGCTTCGCGCACAGCCTACTCCATGTACTACCCCTAGCCGGACCGCGAAGTTGCTCAAGCAGGGGTTCCGGCGCGGACTTGAGCAGGGCCTAGAGCGAGACCTCCGCCAGGATGTCTGCCTACCCCCAGCAGGAAATTTAGCACGACCTCCCAGTCCAAGAGGTTTTCCAGGAGGCCTTCTTGGTATTGAGCAGGAGTGCCGTAGACAGACACCTAATGAGCGCTGCTTCGCGGGTGGCTGCAGAGCGCGGCGGGCTGGTCAGGTGTAGTTTATTAGTGTTTTCCTTTCACGTGAGCGTTACACATTGGGTCTGCAGTCCGTCCCCGTCTCGTCCAAGGACGGCAGGCCGGACGACCCGAGAGTGCAAAAGCGGATCCGGCTGCAGAGCGAAAAAACGCATCGCGGAAGTGGAGTCGTTGCGCCGCGGGGTGAGGGAGGACCTGCTCCACCCATGCACCGTCGGCACCGCCGCGCACCTCGGCCTGCAGGCAGGACCGAAACCTTTCATCCTGACATCCAATCCCCCCCGAGACCGCCCCGCCCCGCCCCGCCCGGCCTTGACTGCGTACCCTGCTAGCGCCTGCTGCCCGGGCCGGCCGGGGCGACCGGCCAGGCCGTGCCCCTTACCACCGAGCGAGCAGGCTGCAGGCCCGATATTCGCTCAAGGCCGCCCGTGTTCCGGTTCAAGAGCGCGCGCTAGGCGCACACCGCGCCGCGCCACGCCGCGCGGAGCGGAGCCATGCGGAGCGAGGCAGACAAGATCACGGGTCCAGCCCCAGGATGCTGCGTGGGCTCCGGCTTCGCTGGCGTCGTCGTCGTCGCTGTTGTTGTTGGAGTGGCTTTTGTTGTTTTTGTTTTTATTATTGCTTTTGTTCGATGCAGCGCGCTGTGTGGCTAATTATCGTCCAGACGGGTTACTCTCCCGGATATGACGTCCGAGGGGTGGAGAAGTGTTATGGAGGGCGGTGAGCGTGATGGGCCCGCTCACCATGGGAGGACGGTTTATCGGACAGGCCGATCACCACGAGGGCGGCGAGCGTCACTAGATCATCGGCAGATGAGAAGGAGCAAGAAAACAGGACTCGCTCGCTGCCCGCGCAAGCCGCCGCAGGCCCAGCAGCAGGTCACTCACTATACGGGGCTGATAATCACTCGGTGATCATCTGCCGAGGAAACTGGTCAGGTCAGGTCGATACATATGCGCATTACAGCCTGCAACGCCTGCCCCCCGCCCCGCGACCAGCCTTGTGCCTGCGCTTGTTGGGCCCGTAATGTCACAACACCCGTAAATCATCAAGCGGCGCGCCGGCGCTCCACACGGCGGTGGCGGTGCCCGGCGGTGTCCGGCCAGGGGGAGGTGCCCGCAGAGGGGACGGAGAGGTGCCCGGTGACGTAGAAGCTCGGGTGGAGGTAGCGGTGTCCGGCCCCAGTGAGGCGGGACCGGGGGGCTGCATCCGTTACCGTCTCTACTCTCCGCGGCTGGGGGCGCGAGCTGGCGCGAGCGTGCTCTACCCGGAGACACCTCCGCACCCGCGGCCGCTGGACAGGGATTCACATCTGTCTCTTCCCGTGAGTCCGTGTCGTCGCTGGCGAAGCGGCGCAGCTAAGAGAGGTGGCGCCGGCTGACACACCGCAGAGCTGCGTGCGAGGCAGGGCGGCCGGGGGGGCGCTGCGCGATCCGGGTAACCTCTGACTAGGCCACGGTCATCCTGGGTGGGGTTGGACTTGCTGCGGCTCGGCGTGGCGCGAGCTGGCGCGAGCCTGGGGGCGCCTGCCTGCTCGCGCCGCTCGCTCGCTTCCTGTTTTGGCCCGTCCTGTCCGGTTCCGACCAGGACACGCGCGCCGCGGCGGCGCACTTCGTGAGGTAGGTCTGGGTGTGGCCGGTCGTGCCCGGCCCGGCAGGTGAGGGCGGGTGCGGGCGGCGGCCAAGGCCAGGGGGCGGGTCCAGCGCTACGCAAACCTTGGAGCGAATGAAGAATTTGCTGATCCCATCCCCTGATCATACCCCCC